CTCTACCCCCTGGGAACAATGGGAGATCTTCACACAACAATGGGAGATCTCCCAATCTACCTTCTCACAGGGAACCCCGAAGCCATCCATTCCTTTTGATTTACATGACCACCTGTGGTTGACTGGACTTTATGGCTCCGTCTACCTCCCTTGTGATAACCCCCCACTGAGCACCAAAAGGTTCTTCCAACACTGCTGAATCATGGAACAAGAGTGCCACATAGTGGCGACTGCAGGCATCACATGATAACAAGAACAATAATATGATTGGCCACAAGAGGCTTAGCCTCTCTCTTCCATTGGCCTACAAGATTTAAACACACACCCGGGAAGTCGAAAACCACTCCCCCCATACAGGTATATAAGCATAAACAACTAACGATACTTCAGAAGTTATTCTTGACAGGATTTGCGTATTAACTACTGTTGTACGAGATTTCCTTGAATACTTCTCCAGTTGTTTATTTTGCTTTATTGTTGGACCTGTTTTGTTTGATGTTTGTTATTAAAACAAATCGACCATCTACCGGCTGCTTCCACTCCTTGCCTGAAGACACCTCACACAGCAAGAATCTTTCACTTCTCTCACTCCTGACATTTTTCTCCAGCTGTTCCATCCTGCCTGTACTCTATACTTTACCTCTCTTCCACAGTCTCCTCTGCTCTGAACAGTTGATCCCAAGTACCTAAACTCCTGCACCTTCACCACCTCTGCTCCTTGTAACTTCACCATTTTACTGTTCTCCCTTTCGTTTACACACATGTACTCTGTCTTGCTATCACTGACCTTCATTCCTCTTCTCTCTAGTGCAAACCTCCACCTCTCTAGGTTCTCTTCTAGCTGCTGCCTACTCTCACTACAGATCACAATGTCATCTGCAAACGACATAGTCCATGGGGACTCCTGTCTGACCTCATCTGTCAATCTGTCCATCACCAAAGCAAACAAGAAGGGGCTCAGGGGCGATCTTTGATTGGTAGTCCCACCTGCACCTTGAAGTCTTTTGTCCTTCCAACAGCATACCTTGCACTGTTGTACTATTCTCATACATGTCCAAAATACACAATGTAGCTCCTTCTGACCTTCTCTGTGCTTCTCCTTCAGCATCTTTAATGCAAATATTGCATCTGTGGTACTCTTCCAAGGCATGAAACCACACTGTTGTTCACAAATCTCACTTCCTGCCTCAACCTAGCTTCAACTACTCTACCCAAATCTTCATTGTATGACTCATCAACTTTATCCCTCTGTAGTTGTTACAACTCTGTACATCACCTTTCTTATGAATTGGCACCAGAACACTTTTCCTCCACTCATCCGGCATCTTGTCTGTTTCTAAAATTCTGTTAAACAACCTAGTCTATGATGCAGGAGTACAGGACGCCCTCCACCACACATCTGTAAAAAGAGGTTAGGACTGAGCTCCCCAGTCCAGCACACCTCAGTCTCCTCAGGAAGTAGAGGCGTTGGTGCGCTTTCCTGATCAGGCAGGAAGTGTTGGTTCTCCAAGTGAGGTCATATATCACCATATAGGTAATAAAGTGGCTGTTGTTACAAATTTTGTATTATTATTTTATAAATAAAGGCCACAAAGCAGAGAAAGTGATTAACTAGCTAAATAGATTAATGATTTTTTATCCAAATTAGTAATTAGTAATAGTGGTTAATTTTTTTTGGTTTGTGTCCAATTCATTACAAATCAGTAGTTACATATTCTAGGATTACTCAACAGTGTTAATGATTATTCATTGTGTGTGAGTCAACAGTTTTGTGATTAATCAGGATTCAGTGTCTATCCAGTTGTTTCTTCTCAGTGAAGAATAAACACAGAAATCAAAGTCAACGAACGCCTCCTGCTGCTCAGACGACAGAGTTAAGGCCTTAGACGGAGGAGACAAAACCCGGCTGCATACAAGTGAACTCCCTGTCAAAGTTACTGACATCCACTGACTCAGAGATTGAAGGCAAGAATGGAGGCAACGCCTTCTTGGCCAGAAGTGCATCCCAGTCAATTGTCTACAAGAGAGTGAAGGTAAAATAAGACACAGTTGTCCATGGAAGCATGTTTGTTTAAAAAAAAGAAGTCAGGTTTACCTAAAAACTCCTTTAACCTAATTGGCATCTCTTTCTCCTGCTCCTAATCTTTTCAGGGGATTCCTTTTCAGGAGCTGCAGAGGTCAATAGGTCAATCCCCAATCAATATAAGGTCATTAAAGGGACATGTCTGAAAGTTTTTACACATCCAGGTCCTTTTTATCCTCAAAATTTTATAAATAGGATAATCTGTCACATCCTCCAGTTTTAATCTTTTAAGGAGTAAATTTGATATTTTATTTTTATTTCTATCATTGGGTAGTGGGAGACAAGATGGGAAGCTAAGTAAGGAGAGTGATCGACACCTTTTGGATGATGGCGACAGCGTCGGGTGGTAGAGAAGTTGGGTAATGAACATTATTATTATTATATCGTTGACAATGCTGTCAAACACTTCCTCTTCGTCCTCTCCAGGGAACGGAGACTAACAAGGAGAAGAGAAAACTTTATTCTGGTTTGAGTTTAGTATTTTTACCTGTAATGTGTTTTTTTTTTCAACATTAAAGCTTAAACTGTCAGATAGAAATCATACCCGCTTTACACAGAACTGTATGTTTTATTAGAAGAGTTTTATTAAGAGCAAACCTACATGACTGGCAGTGTCAGTACCCTAAAGGACCACAGTTAAATTCAACTACCAGTAATTAAAGCAGTTATAAAACAGGCCCACCTCTCTCACAAGCATCTTGTAGATGAGGACACCCCTCCCCCACCAGTCCACAGCCCGAGTGTAGTTGTCATCTGTCAGAACTTCTGGAGCAAGAAACTCTGGAGTTCCACAAAAAGTTGAGGTTTGGTCACCAAAACCTATGCCTGTGGAAAAATGAAAAATTATTTATCATATTACAACTATTTGTCATTATTATTATTTGTCATTTAGGCTTTGACTAAAATATGGTTAAAATAAAGATGTACTTTTTAGCTGTTTTATCTATTCTTTAGTTCTGTTGGTTGGTTACTGAGGGCAAAAACATTTATTTATGAATAAGAGATGGTTTGGCCAGACAATTATTTATTTGATAAAATATAACATCAGTCTTAATTTTTTTCCAATTACTTTAGAAATGCTGTGACCAATAATTACATTAAAAAAAAAGAATCATGTCCAGCACCTTCTTTATAAAGTCCAAAGTCTGTGATTTTCATCTGAGCCCATCAGCATGTTGTCCAACTTCAGATCTCTAAAGGAACCATAAAGAGGTGGTTCACCATTAAACAAGAGTCCAGTAATAGGAAAGATTTGCATTCAAAACATTGGCTTTGGTATCAGAAACCAGGGACAGTACCAGCACCTAGGTACGTCACCCTGTAGATTTTTATTTCATCTTTACTTTAAAACTTCAGTCCAGGACTTTTCCACCATCTTACTTGCCTGTTGTCATGAGTGAATGTACTTTATTTTGCATTCAATAATACACTGTTTATATTTCTAACAGGTGCAAATAGTGTAATTACAGCCCCCCGTCCCCCAATTTTTTGTGGTTTTGGTGACAGTAAAGATCCGGAACAACCTGGAGACTGAGGCAAGAGAAGGTATGTCCTTTGCTGTGCCTTTTCTAATGTTTTTTTTCTTTTACCTTATTTTCGGAGGAATATTTAGTTCCTTGAAAATGTTATTGCTTTGATTAAAAGTTCCTGGTACTACATGGTGGAAATGTGACTTGAGTGATTAGTGAGACTCACCGATAGATAATTTTGTTCAGATACAGGAACTCTAACCACAGCACAACACAGGCGCACAGAGTAAAACCTTAACAAAATAAGGACAGCAACAACAGCAGGAGGTGTGAATCAAACGGAGTAGTAACTTTAATGACCCTCCACCGACAGAGACCTACATTACAGACCTGGTCTGGGCCTCAGTGAAGACGTTGTTATGGATGTGGATCATGAGGTCTCCTCCTGGTAAATACTCCATTACAAAGCAGACGTGGTCACTGGTCTGGAAGCAGCCATGGAGGTTGACCAGGAAGAGGTGTCTGGACATGTTGATCATCTCAAAGATCCTCTTCTCACTCATCAGGCTGTGGAGTCAAATTGAGAGTTTTCAGCGAATTGGTATAGATGTCATAACTGGTCTTGTCATCAAAAATAAACCAAACTACAAACACACACACACACACACCTACCTGTCTACTTCATCATGGATCGTATTGTCTCGTTTCTTCAGGGCTTTGATGGCGTACAATTTTCCTGTCTTCTTGAACTCTGCCAGCAAGACCTGTGTGGACAAGTTTGAGGACAAACATGACGAAAACGAACGAAAAAAAGAGCTCAGATGGTTTCTCCATTTCTTACCTTCCCAAAGTGTCCATGACCCAGAACTGATATATACCTAAAATCATCCATTTGCATCCTGTCAAAACATAGGGAGAAAACTAGAGAATGAAGACAATGAGCTAATCAGTATGGTCTTTGAAAAAAGCTGTGTGTGTGTCTGTGTGTGTATGCATGTGCGTGCGCTCCTACTTTTGTGCAGAAATAGGTTCTTTAGTTCCTTGTGTGTTACTTAACCAGGAACCAGGCCAGAGGACAGAGAGGAAAGAACCAGGCCATCGGCAGCCAGTCAAATGGCCCAAAGCCAACGAGGTGGCAGTGTGGCAGCATCTGTATAAAGATCTGGTTAGCATCTTAGAGCACTCGCTACGTGGCCAAATAGAGACCAAGCTAAACTGCTGTGGAGACTTCCTCTTCGAGGAGTGTAAAGGCAGGTTTGGAGTCATGGCTGTAAGACAGAACGTTGGGCCAAGGCAGAAGGGAAGAAGGGAGAGGGAGATCGAGTTGGTGCAGTTGGTGAAGAGGTGGCGTCAGCTCCGAAAGCAGTGGAGGAAAGCAGGCGAAGAGGAGAAGGAGGGCCTGAAACCACTGTGGGAGGAGGTGAAGAAGACCCTGGCCAGCCTGCGGAGGGCAGAGCGCATCCGCAAACGCAGGAGGCGGAAGGAAAAGGAAAGGAGCAACTTCTTCAAAAACCCCTTCAAGCATGCAAGACAGCTTCTAGAGGACAAGAGAAGCGGGAAGCTGGGGATCACAAAATCAGAGCTGGAGGATCACTTCAGGGAACAATACAGCGACCCAGCAAGATCAACTCCGCTGGGATCTCCTGGTTATGTTCCTCGCCCAGCCCCCCCATCTTTCCCATTCGATGCTGCTCTCCCTAAGCTGAGTTAGGTTGCAGAAGTTGTCCGGAGAGCAAGAGCAGCCTCAGCCCCAGGCCCAAATGGGATACCTTACAAACTGTACAAGTATTGCCCAAGGGTCCAGAAACTTCTGTGGAACCTCATGAGGGTGGCCTGGAAGAACCATGTCATCCTCTCAGAGTGGCAAAGGGCAGTCACAGTTTTTATCCCAAAGGAGGCAATATCCACCACCATCAGTCAGTTCAGGAGCATCGCACTCCTGAATGTCGAAGGAAAGATCTTTTTCTCCGTACTGGCCAAGAGGCTGATTAGGAACAGGTACATTGACACCAGCTGCCAGAAAGCAGGTGTGCCAGGGTTCCCAGAGTGTGTGGAACACTCTGCAGTCATTTGGGAGCAGATCCAGAGAGCAAAAGGCGAAAAAGGTGACCTGCATGTGGTATGGCTGGACCTTGTCAACGCATACGGATCCGTCCCCCATCAACTCATCGACTATGCCCTGGACTTCTTCTATATCCCTGGCCCCATCAGAACCTTAGTAGCCAAATACTTTAAAGACCTCAAGATGTGCTGCAGCCACCAGGACTACACTACTGGATGGCAGCAGCTGGAGGTAGGTATAGCCATGGGATGCTCGATCTCTCCCATTCTTTTTGTTGCAACTTTCGAGATCATCCTAATAGGAGCAAGGACGATGGTCGGAGGAGTAAAGCTGCCATCAGGGCTACCCCCAGTGAGAGGCTATATGGACGACATCACCACCATTCTCCATACAGCAGCATGTACAACGAGACTGCTGAAGAGGATTGACAAACTTGCGGGGTGGGCAAGGATGAAGATCAAACCTGCCAAATTGTGCAGCCTCTCCATGAGGAAAGGAATTAGAAGCGATAATACCACATTTGTTGTAGGTGGTGAAGAGATCCCACTGCTGGCAAGTCAACCCATCCGTAGCCTTGGTCGTACCTATACTGCAGAACTCTCCAACAAGAAAATGGGGGAAACAGTGAGGAAGCAGCTGGCAGATGGCCTGGCCAGGATCAATCGGAGCCAGCTCCCCGGCAAGTACAAGGTATGGAGTTACCAGTTCATACTGTACCCAAGGGTGATGTGGCCTCTGAAGATGAGCAAAGTCTCCTTGTCCATGGTGGACAGGATGGATAGGCTGGCAAACTTGTTAATCAGGAAAAGCCATAGTCCAGTAAGACACCCCATTCCACCCCATCCCTTACCTCAGCCCCTTTCCTTACCCTGAGGGTAAGTATAAGGATGGCCCCCAATAATTCCCCTGCCACAGCCCTAATCCCCACCCCTTGATCATACAAAAGAACTCACCCTTGAGGTAAGTTGGCACCACTGGTGACACTCAGGCACTAGTGGGGCCCAGGGAGGTGTTCAGATGAGCACGCTAGCACAAAGGCACTGGTGGAGGTGCATCAGGCAGCAATGCCCAGCAGGCAGACCACCAGCCTGTATTTTCATATCATGGACTGTGGACACAGATAAAAGTTTTTAAATGATTTCATGTCACATGTAGGTCTTTGAATTTCTTTTTTCCTAATTGTTTTCCTAATGTTGCAATGTGTAGACAATCATCTTTTTTTAATCCTCAATAAACAATGACTAAAACTTCATTTTGGATAATGCTGGACAAAACAAAATTAATGTTAGAATTAACAGAAGAGATTTAATATTTGAAATAGTACCAGGTTCAGTTTCACCTCTGGCAATTTCATAAACAGCTTATTTTAATTTCACTTTAAACTATATGTACTAATAAAACACCTGTGATATCCACCTTGTCATTTTTTTACCTGTTGTTTTTGCGACTTGGGTTCGGAGGCTGTTGTGTGTTCAGGCGTCATGATGACTGGTGTTTCTGTATTTTGGCTGATATCTGTGGCAGGACCCAAGTCTTGATCTTCATTGATGGTGAGTCTGGAGTCCCACACAATACACACATTGTATTAATGACAAAAGTGTTAACATTAAAACGTTTGTGTTATTCAACCCTGCATGGTTGACTTCTGACCTTGGCAGTCGATCATGGAAATGTGGCTCCTGTCCTGTGGCTTGTGGCAAGTTGTTAGCTGTCGTTTCAGAGGTTGTACTGAGGCTAGAGCTGAATGTAGAGGAGGTGGAGGAAGTTCTTACTAGTCAAACACCCACAGATGGACAGACAGAAAGTAGGACAGTAGGACAGATGGAACTTTTTTTTTAATGGTTGTACCTCTTTCTTTCGTGAACATACATCGCTGACGTCTCAGTTTCAGCTGACACTCGACAACAGCATCAATGAACTGAAGCTGTAAAAAGATAAAGATAAAACCAGTTAGACTGTATTGCATTTCTTTGCAATAGAATTTGCTAAATAAATAAAAAACATGTATTTGACAGGAAATAATATCACAATAGAATAGAAGTGAGATTAGGATTAGACCTCTTTAGCAGTCACTAGTGGTTGGTGGGTCTGAGTGTCAATACAGGGGAGGCGACTATTGACTATCAGTTATTCTAATCTAGATGACCTCTGGTTTATGTCAGACCTTGGTGTAAAGGAGTCCCTGTGGCTCCAGACTCAGATCCTGCTTGTAGTTCTGGTTCTCCATAATTTGCTCTACTCGCAGGAACTTGACCTCTAGCTCCCGAGACTGACAAGTAGACCAACAGACACTATGAGTATGTTTTCAAACAGTAAAGGTTAAAGCTAAAGACAAAAACGTCCCAAAACAGAGTATTAGGTCTGGGATGACTAAGACACAAAGTTAAATTGATTGCTTATATTAGGGGCAAGGGTTAGGGTTAGGGTTAAGGCTGTTGATACAGTTACAATATTAAATGGTACAACAGCTCCTCCTGCTGACAGAACAGGATCTTGCTGTACCCTCAGGCCTCATGACAATGCCCTGCAATTTCTAGAATAAAAAACTCCTTGAGGTTCTTACAGTTCTGAACAATCACAACCATGTATATGCGAACTGGAAATAAAAAGTATTTTTGCTACTAAAGTAAACATACACCAGTGTCCTTGGACTCACCCGCTCCAGCTGAGCGCAGAAGGTCTGATCCCAGCTCAGTTTGTTGACTGTTTCCCAGCGTGTCCGACCGACTTACCTGCCATCCAGCCTGAGCACAGCAGCGACCTCTGCTGTGAACCAGATGCAAAAGACATGATTGAAAACATCTGAGATCAACTCAGTACACAATATACAACATACATTCAAATCAGATTTATTTACCTGTAGATTTGATCAAATATAAAACATAAACAGCAACACATTAAGTGAAACTGTGTCAAAAAGTTTCTCAAACTAAGAAAAACACAAGTCAGTAAATCCTCACATCCCAAAAGCCTGACCTCAAGTTTTCCTTGAAATAATTATTTTGAATGGAGTGTAAAAACCCCTCCTTGAACCGCAACCTTAACGTGGTGTAGGGGTTTGAATATCCGAATGAAACTAGGAGCTTTGTTGTCAGGGGCTTAATGCCCCTGGTAGAGTCTCCCAAGGCAAACAGGTCCTAGGTGACGAATCAGACAAATAACGGTTCAAACCCCCCCTTGATGAAGAAAACGACAAAATCGAAGAGGTTCACGTCGCCCGGATTGACGTCACCGGGGCCCCACCCTGGAGCCAGGCCCGGCGTTGGGGCTCGCAGGCGAGCGCCTGGTGGCT